AATTACAGAGTAATTTACTCAAATACTCGCCCGGTTCGAGTATCGAGTACTTCAATCACTACTCGACCTCATGATTGACGAGTACAAAAAGTAATCAGCTGTCCTCGTGAGTACTTTCTATTTTCAAATCTACTCAGCAATATGTTACTCTGAGTACTTTTCAAAGTAATCGAGTATTTCATTATAAAAATTACAGGAGTAGAATATTTAATATTTCTTCCATGTTTAAGTCCATTGTTATCTTATGGGGGTATAGTTTTTTAAAATAGTATCGATATTAATGTAAATCGATAAAATAAAGAATTATTAAAATATTTTGGATTTAATCAACTTTGGGGACCATTTTTTTTTTTCTTTTTACACCACTTGACTTTTATGATAATGCTGTCGGATTTGAGATAGTGCCCCCGGGCCCCGACTTTTTTAAGTTTTTGTGTTAAATCGATATCAGGGTCGATTAGTATGTTTTGGGGGGCGCTTTTTATGAAAATGATATCGAATTTGGGATTAGGCCCCCCGGGCCCCGACTTTTTTTAACTTTTTGGATTAAATCGATATCAGGGTCGACTATTAGGTTTTGGGGGTGCTTTTTATGAAAATGATATCGAATTTGAGATTGGGCCCCCCGGGCCCGACTTTTTTTAACTTTTTGGATTAAATCGATATCAGGGTCGACTATTAGGTTTTAGGGGGTGCTTTTTATGAAAATGATATCGAATTTGAGATTGGGCCCCCGGGCCCGACTTTTTTTAACTTTTTGGATTAAATCGATATCAGGGTCGACTATTAGGTTTTGGGGGACGCTTTTTATGAAAATGATATCGAATTTGAGATTGGGCCCCCCGGGCCCGACTTTTTTTAACTTTTTGGATTAAATCGATATCAGGGTCGACTATTAGGTTTTGGGGGCGCTTTTTATGAAAATGATATCGAATTTGAGATTGGGCCCCCCGGGCCCCGACTTTTTTTAACTTTTTGGATTAAATCGATATCAGGGTCGACTATTATGTTTTGGGGGCGCTTTTTATGAAAATGATATCGAATTTGAGATTGGGCCCCCCGAGCCTGAATTTTATTAACTTTTTGGATTAAATCGATATCAGGGTCAACTATTATATTTTAGGGGGCGCTTTTTATGAAAATGATATCAGATTACGAATCATTTTCATACATTTTGAGATAGTGCCCCCGGGCCCGACTTTTTGTAACCTTTCGGATTTAATCGATATCAATGTTGATTATGAGGTTTTGGGGAACACTTTTTATGAAAATGATGTCGGATTTTTTTTTTTTATAAAATCCGTCCCCTAAAACATAATAGACGGCCCTGATATCGACTAATTCCAAAAAGTGAATCCACTGGGTGCAATCTCAAATTCGACTATCATTTTCATAAAAAGCACCCCCAAAACCTAATAGTCGACCCTGATATCGATTTAATCCAAAAAGTTAAAAAAGTCGGGGCCCGGGGGGCCCAATCTCGAATTCGATATCATTTTCATAAAAAGCGCCCCCCAAAACATAATAGTCGACCCTGATATCGATTTAATTCAAAAAGTTAAAAAAAGTCGGGGCCCGGGGGCCCAATCCCAAATTCGATATCATTTTCATAAAAAGCGCCCCTCAAAACATAATAGTCGACCCTGATATCGATTTAATCGGAAAAGTTATGAAAATTCGATGCCCGGGGGCACTATCTAAAATCCGACAGTATATTTTTATAAAAAAGGCCCCCCAAAACATGATGGTTAGTCTAATATCGATTAATGGGGGCTCGGGGTTGGTCAGGTCGAATATGGCCGCTATTATTGAAGGAAATAAAAGAAAACATTTTTACTCTTTATAATAATGACGGAGTAGTTGAAAAATAAAAAGTACTCTTTGTAGGAATTCGGCTGAGTACTTTCTGTAATTCGATATAACAGCGCGAGTATTTTCTGTACTTAACTAAATCATGATTGACGCTGCGTGAGTACTCTCAGTACTCGCCGATGTCAGGCCGAGTACAGAAACTACTCGATACTTTTTCCCAATAAAATTACTCAAATCATGAAAGTAATCGAGTACTGCCCATCTCTATGACCGACTTCAGCAGGCAGTGATTAACTGATTCCGTTCTCTACCAGATGTGTACTATTGTCAGAGAAAACGGAAGTGGAGCAGGGTGTAAAACTCCACTTATTCAATTATATGTTCTTACCTGTTTTCTTGTCGCTGAAACTAAACGTCTCTGAGAATCCCTTGAAAAAACACTTAGTGACTTTAGCCGAAATTACAGGATTAGTGAAGAACTTCCGGTGAAGGAAAATATGGAAAACAGACAACTGAGGTGTTATCGAAATGACATGCCTATGCACCAACACAAGTAAAATCAAACGGAAAAAAATGTTTTTTATGTAAAAAAAATTCTGTTTCGAACTAGAGTGATAAACAAAGTATTCTATTACCCTTCTGTCATATTTATCAGGATTACTGTAACCTATTTTTTCCCATTGCTTCTAAGAGGAACTTACGTAGATTATACAAGTTCATCAAGAAATGAATAAATTTTACTAAGCTATGTTTGCCTTCCACTTTATCTAAAAAAATATTACTGGTTTTGATCATCTTGAAATGCGGATTCTCTATCTTTATAATACAATATAACATCTCCCACAGGATTAAAAATTGTAAAAAGATGGGTACGTGACATTTTAAAGAAGAAAATGCTGCTAATTATTTCACAATGGTTTATTATTTATACAATAATATATCTAAAGTAACATTACATTTCTAGTTACACCGAAAAATAAATAAAAGTTGATTCCAATATTGGAATAAACTTTTTTTTAATCAGTAATATGCTTAAAAAAATAGCATTACTTCCGTAACGCATTCAAAAACCAAAACAAAGAATATAACCTTTGCAGTAGAACGTATAACATAAACTAGAGCCACATCTTTGCTCTTAATTGTCCGATTTTAACGATTTTTTTTTTTTTTAGGAAATAACGTAAACTTTTAATTTAGGAAATTTAAATACCTTTGATATATCTTATCACAATATCGACGAAAAACAGTATACTTTTTGAGTTATTCGTAATTTAATTGTAGCATCCATCCTAAATTTTGTTCCAGCTTCTTTTTCATTGAAGTATGTATAGATAAATTTAAAGTGCGTCGAGAAAATGACTTTCGAGAAGTTTCATTGAAATCGGTACATTCGTTTAGGCGCTACAGTCTATTGCATAGTTTTTTCGGCCGCCATTTTGAAAGTAAAAGGCGGATAGTAATGTCGATGAAGGAGGATCATCTTCGGGTAACCTCTGATTTTATATCAAAATTTGAAAAAATCGGTCCATTAGTTTCGGAGAAAATGCCCGGACGGCGGACGGACAAAAAATTTTATTCATTTTTCGAATTCTACGTATCCTGAATTTTGAGAGGGGGTTAAGTTTTTGAATTTTTTTGTTGATCACAATGGTTCATTATTGAAAATATGTGAACCAAGTGTGCCCAGAAGGGGATTTCATGGCGCAAGTTGCGCCATAAAAAACTTTGAGGGGGGCAATTTTGACTGGATGCTTGAGGAGAACGCTTGTCGACGGGTTAACAAATTTTTGGAATGAAAAGTTTAAAACCAGCAGACAAGGAGAAAACACGAAACACGCTAGAAGTGTAATTGTGTATAATCTACGATTTTTAAATTCTATTTTCGTTTGCACTGTTTTTAAGAAAAGGAGAGTAATAAAATATCTTGGGAAGAGAGGGGGAGAGATTCTTGCTCGATCGATCTTAAGGGGGGATTGTGGTGTACCCCTGGCGTGAATAGTTGACCCAACACAAAAAATAATTTCCTAAAACTTCGTGTTTTGAAGTTGATGAAGTAACGTCAGCACCCAGTGGGCGGGGTAGCCGAATGGGCTAAGGCGTGTGCACTGCACCGCCGTTGCCCGGAAACCTGATATCTGATTATGATATAAAAATAACCACGAGTTCGCGTCTCGGTGCCAAAGGGAGTCTTTTAAATCCCCGCCCACACCCCCTGGCCCGGGAAAACCCCGTATAGCCTTAACAGCGAGGAAGGGGAGGACGAAAAAAAAAACCTCAGCACCGCCTTTGATGGACTAAGGGCAGGAATGATGAGAAAAATTGGAGTCTATGGCCTCACGGAGTATGAATTTCCCCAGTTCGTGGCGGAGCAGAACTACCCGTATTATAAAGATTATGTGTACGGGTGGAAAGCTTGCTCTGAGGCCCACACACTTTAATCTGGGAAAAAGAAGACCTGCTAATGGAAGGCCGCCAGTCTAATATGGCGAAAAAAGAAAAGATTGGAAAAACAAAAAGAAATCGTTTAAGTACTTGTCGTTTAATAGCAGGAATAGCATACACGTTGTGATATGCCATCCCTGAAAAATCCCATGTAGAGGAAAGGTAAGGAAGGGAGAAATAAAGTTGATGAAGTAACGGATAAATAATTATACCGAGCTTGCGCCTTAACCCTTCAACATTCCTGCTACCATTTCTAACAATTATATTTACGCTGCACCTAGGACGGGAAAATACATTTTGTGTCTTCCTAGCGAACTTAGGTATTATTAAAAGATTACAAAGTATTTACAAAGTATATTAAAATAAATTAAAAAATTAAAATAATAAAAATGTATTTTAATGAATAAACGATTTAATTTATATGAATTATAGTATAATGGTTTAGTGTTATATATATATTTTTTATTTTATTCTTATTTCATCCAGTTTCTCTAAAATGGACATTTCTATATAGCGAAAAAAATTGAATTTGGCAGGTGTCCGTTACTGATACGTTTTATACTATATATGGTCTTTTTTACATTATACATTATTTTACGAAACGATCTTATCTATTTTTTTGTCTCGTTGTCCAGTAATCCAGAAAAAAAAAAAATGTTCCGTGCCAAGGATATCACAAAGATAATATATATAACTTTCTTACTATAAATTAATGAGTATATATAGAAGATAGTAGATATTACTTTAGCCGGAGATAGAGAAGGTAGAAGATGACTCCGAGGCACCTGGGGCATCGAGCGCAGGGCCGCGCGACGGCGCAGGACTCGGCCAGTCACCACAGTCCCCGCTCAGTAGCTGGCCCGCTCTCTCTCCTGCCTCTCATCTTGGTGAGTATTACAGTCGCGATTGTATCATCACGAGCATCATCATCATCACTAATGGATATCTACCGTGATGATGGTGATGACGTCACGTCAAGTGTTGTCCTTAGGAATAGCTCAGCATACCCGACCTATGATTGATCCTTGTAAACTTGTAGATTTTGTTTTGAAATACATTAATTAAATATTCTGATAACATTGGCTTAATATCCTTGCATGCTATGTTTATTACTATTAGAATTGTTGATGAAATAATATTAGATTATATATAAAAAAAAATATATATATATAAATATAAATATATATATATATATATATATATATATATATATATATATATATATATACATATTTACTTATAATTCTGAGTAGCTTTAAATAATTTAAAGAAAATAAATGTTACTTTTTTAGGAACGTTGATGAACACTATAATTCCTGAGTGCCTTTATTTATTTTTATTTTATTACTCCTATGATATTGTTAGTATAAAAATATAGCATCGATACTAGGACTTATTTTTAGGATCATAAATAAAATAGATGGTAAATTGATTTACCACGTTCAGTTATTTATTTTATTTCCGCTATAAGTTTTATTTCTAAAGTAACTTCTTTGATCCATTTTATTGTCTTTTTTTTATTTCGATTCTTGGGTTTTTATAAAGGAAGATACCCCTTCTATTGATAAATAATTAATTTATTCACTCTTCGCCGTTTCCTGGTCCTTCTTGGAGAACGATTTATTCTGGTTATAGTTAATTGTTATTTATATTCAAAAATCTTTTTAAGAAACATCATAGTGTCCTTTCACTGAATTATTAACATTTTTTCGTTATTTAAAAATATGTCTAAACATTAAATACATTTTTTTAAGAGTTGAAAGTTGTTTAAATTTAGGCCTTCACATTGAGGCCTATTTATATTATTCTATTTTTATTTCTTATACAATTTTTCTTTTTGTGATATTGAGCAATTGTGAAAAATATACATTTTTTTAAAGAGGTTATCATATTGTTCACAACTATTTTTTTGTTATTTTTACTTTAAAGTAAAAAGAAAATCAGCAAACTTTATATATATATATATATATAAATATATACAAATAAAATATTTTGATGGTATAATAATGATTATTATCATTATTTTTATTTTGTATCATTAATAATATTAAAGTTTCGTTTTAATTATTTATAAAATTATAATTGCGGCCATTTTTTTTTATTACGGATACTATCGTTAGGGTTTTCTTACCAAGAACAATAAAATAAATAAATTTAGTATTCTTAAATTTATTAGACTATAATAAACGCGATAAATGATAATATGCCTAGAATGAACTATTGAGTTAATACATATTTACATTTTCATTATATAAACATTAACATTATATAAATGTATTATACCTAAAATGTTTAATTAAAGAGGATATTTATGGAAGAGGCTCAAATTACAAAAATTAAAAATGTCCCTGGAATTTATAGTGTATTATTTGTGTTTACCTCTGCGATTTATGGGAGGGATTTATTTTTCAAGGAAGCAATGCTTGGGATATTTTCGTTCTCTTCCCAGACAATGTGGGGCATCCTCCGCCCCTGATTGCGACATCTTCCCCAAGGGTATTCTTTTTTACTTCCGAATGAGGCAGCAAGCGGAGATGGAAAATGTCTGAGTTGGATATTAAATGAACTTTGGACTACACCAAAGATTGATTAAGGTGTCAGCTACTGTATTTGATACCGCTTGGTGGCTAAGATGATTATAATTAAAATTGGACATGTTCATAATGCAATTACATATTTCATTATCTGACATGCAATTGAAAGAAAAGTTGGAATGCGAATAGATATTCTGACTATTGTGAATACAATTTTCCTTTTTGTGTAATACAATATCGTTGTTGCAGCTTCGCCAGGTCTATCAATATAAAATAATTCATATATTATTTTTTTTGGATCAGTCCTATGTTTTTCAAAAAAAAAAAAATAATTTGAAAGGAAAATAAATTTATAAGTCTTCATAGTATAACTATAAATAAATATATACATTCCGTGTCCGCCAAATTAGTAATTTTTTATATTTGAGATAGCACATCAATAGTAGAAATTAGCATAAATGTTTAATATGACTATTTTTAGGTGACCTGAATGGTATTTTTATATATATTTTAATATTTAAAAAAATTAACATTAACATGTGGGTTATCATACGAATAACTGATAAATTAGTAGATTTTATTATTGCATTTTATGAACAACAAAATTACGTTTAACACTATCATTAATACAACTGACGACCTCGACAATGCAATCAACGACTTAACAAAATGTATACAAGAGGCTATTTGGGATTCGACGAGACCACCAAGGACATTCACCAAATCTGCTTCTTACCTACCTCAGCCAATACATAATCTAATAAAAGGAAAACATAGGATTAGAGCCCTATGGCAAAGAACTAGATATCCATCATACAAAACAGAACTCAACAAACTAACTCGAAAAACTATTAACATTTCAAGACGACCGCTATAAAGACTATATAGACACAATAAACAATAGAAATGGATCAATATGGAAAACAACAAGACATATAATAAAGAAAAAATATCTTCAATATCCTCTCCGACATATGGACAACACCAAAGCAATAACAAGCGAAGAAAAATTCAATGAATTCGCTAAATATCTTGCATAGGAATTTGCGACAAATACAATACAGGACAATACTCTCACTAACATAATAAAAGATGAATGAAACCTATTTTCCTCTCCTTTGCAAAATCTCCGCAATTAAGATGATTGCTAAATTTTTCATTACTCCTTCATCCTATCCTATTGCACTTCTCCCTGTTATGAGAAAAATATTTGAAAAATTCCTAAACCGTCTAAAGCCAGTCCTAGAAAGCAGTGAAGTGAAAGCAAACCACCAGTTTAGGTTTCGTTCTTATTACTCTACTATGAAACAGTGCCATTGGATAGTAGACGCTATCTCTGTTGCTTTTTAGAAAAATGAATATTTTTCTAAGGTCTTTTCTTGGAATAGAAAAAACATTTGATAGTGTCTGGCATAAGGGCCTATTATGAAAAATATAGCCGCACTTGGTCTCAATCCTTCTTTCTTAACACATTTTTTCTATATTTCCATAGATTGTTCTGTTTCTTCCTTCTTCCCCTAACACATTGGCGTAACACAAGGTAGCGTCTTAAGCCCAATCCTCTATTCTCTATTTACCTATGATGTCTCTGAGTACCCTAGCACCACCGTCTATTGCTTCGCTGACGACATTGCAATTATTTCTTGAAATCCTACTATGGCATCAATTGCTCTTCAAAACCACATCTATGATCTTGAAAAGTGGTTTGAGAAATGGAAAATTAAAATAAATAGTAACAAATTCACCCACGTTAGTTTCTCTCTTAGGAAAGCCTCATGTCTACCCTTCAACGATTGATAATTACTCAGTGCCTTTAAAGAACTATGCGGGGAGTGGTTTTGAATTCGCGGGTCAGATATCATTAGTAGAATTAACAGCTTGTGTTATAATTCTTCAATAAAATCAAGTTTCGTGAGGTTGCAGACCAAAACGTGGAAAAACATCCACTTGAGATAATTTAAAACAGAAAGTGATCTTAGCGAGGCTGGAATACAGAATTCCCAGAAAAAGAAAATGTATGATATTGTGTACTTCAAATAATGTGATTAGTAAAAATATGACCAGCTTGGGCGGTGTTCGAGTAAACTGGCAGCTCCATCTCTGAATGCTGGAGTACTTCTCACGTTGGAGGGACGTGTGTTTCTCTCTTGGAAAAAGTGGCCTCAATGTATTAATTACGTTAGTACACGATCGAACCGTTTAAGTGATCAACTCAACGTCAAAAGCTTACGAGAAACGCCAGTATAGAAGGTTTTCATATCATGTTTTTTGACGTTCATTTAAACATCATCCACCCAAAATACTACATTTCCACCCATTCGCTAAATTTGTTTCAAACTATTCCGTGTACGTGTATAAAAATAAAGGCTTCAACATACATTCCTAATCACATTGCACTGTTCAAACGTGGCATTTTAAGATTCTATCTGTTGCCTTTTAAGAGAATGTATGCATATCTAGTTTGCAAATCTCAATGTAATGCGATGAACCGTTATAATTTCTTGTTGACAAGCCTAGCAGAGTTTCATAGCTGCTTCTGTATATTATGCTTAAGATCGATCTTCCTAACGATACGCTTGTATGTTTATGGTTCAAGAGATGAGAGATATACCAGCGAATCTTCATCAATAAACCTTTACCTGTGGAGGGATTAAGTTACTCATGGCTATATAGAACGGATTGCAGGGATTATTCGTGGACTCTTCCATGAAAAACTCATTGTAAGACCTATGCTCCAGTGGACCTACTTTCCAGTGTAGCCATACTTTTCGTAGTTGGACATAGTACTCAGCATTCCACTAATGACACTGGTGACCACGCATACTTTGTAATCCAGGTTATCTGCGATTTCCGATAGTCCCTTTTCGCAATCTTCATTGGCCATTTCTCACTCAGTCATTATTCATCAAAAAACACTCCAAGCGCTACTGCTGATCACATTACCAGTTCTCCCTTAATTACTAGGCCCTCCTTATTAACGAATCTTCTTTCACTAGACACTCTTCTTCAACAAAACCTCCTTACTGATCCCTCCAACGGACTCTAACAGACTCTCTCACTCCAACCAGAAATATTTTCATTTCCATTTTTCTCTTTGTGGGGCTATCTCTTCCTATTAATCTGTAAAATTTTAAAATTGCTCTAACTCTATTTGCATCTTATGAAATAGGCCATGGCCATATAGATGGTTCTTCAAATGGATTGTTCGCGGCTAGATTATCTTGCAGATATACCGGTATCCAGTGAGTATCTTTATTACTTACTGCCCTATCCGACGTTTACCAGCAATATTTTTTTTTTCTCTAGGCTGACTATTTATTTTTATTTAATGAAATATTTCAATTCACACATCACCACCCTCGATGTTTGGTTACTAGAACTCGGTAAAAATAGTGATATTTTGCAATAAATGTTATATAATGAAAGGTCGTTAAAAATGAAATATATATATATATATGTTCAGGATTAGTACGATGGTTCTGTCTCACTAAATTGCTCAGCTAGGAAAAATACAATCCATTCTTCATGGTTCCAACGAA